GCTTGGTGTTTACTCTCTGAACTTCAATGTCAGTTGTGTCATGAATAACCAGTGCAAGCAAATGTAAAGGCAGTTAAATTACATTAAATGTCATATATTTTTTTATTTTATTTTTCACAAATTTGTAAAAATATCAAAAAACATCTTTTTTTTTTTACATAAACACAAGTGGGTATTGCATGCGTACTAATTGAAATAAGGCTGTACACATAACTAAATGACAAAGTGCAATATTTTGAATACTTTCTGGATGCAGTTAGTCACAACAAAGACTAAGAACTAAAATAGTTTTTTTATATATATAACCCTAAAATCATTGTTGCAACCTCTTAACAAGGTTTATAAAAAGCAAAGCAATGAATGCTTCCAACCACTGTTCAAAGCTTTATAGCCCAAAAACAAAAACCATGCAGACATTTTGCAACATTCAAAATACCAATAGCCTTAATTGAGCATATAGAAAATATCTAAAACATGTGTAAGACTCCAGGCAAGGAAAAATTCATTAACTACAGAACAACAGAAATGATGGATGATTTCATGCTTTTGTGGAAAGTGAGACAGAGTGCTCTTTGAAATACTGAATTACTAAGTGCAGTGGCTCCATTAGAGCTAATGTGTCAAAAAAATCATGTAAAAAAACCCCTTTTAAAGGAGGCCAGACATCCCATGTCTGCTCATTTTACTGCCAATGAGAGGGTATCCATTGGACCAAGAAAAGGTGATTTAAATTTTATTTTAAGGGAAAGAAACTGACCTTTTAAATCAGTTCTTTATACAAGCCTTAACCCAAAATCATTTAAATGAAAACCTATTTTTTAAATGTATCATTCAGCGGTTTTTAACAAGAGAAAATATCAGATCCTCAATAACACTTACTGCCCCTATGCATTAACCTTTCATGTTTAAGAAAATTACCCTTGTTTGTTATCTAATACAAAATAAAAAAAATTGTTCTGAAACACAGATGACTTAAAGCATTTCCTCTCAAAGATAAGTACATTTGTAGAGCTGAAGACAAGCATGCTGGCATCTAACACCTCCCCAGATGATCTGTCTATCTTTTATCTTTAAGCTCATCAATTCAAGGACACAGTGAGAAGTCCTTAAGAAATAAGGTGGAAATTTTTTTTTTTAGAATAGATTAGCCTTACATACTGAATGTATGAAGCATAAAAGCATTTAAAACATATTGTATGTTAAAAAAAAAAGAGTGAAAAATACATTTATGGCAGCTTAAATCATTATAAATGAAGAATATTGATTTTTATTTCAGTTGAGAATTACTTTTCTTTTTACCTTATGCTGTAAATATATAAACATATTGTGGTTGGAGAAATAAATTATGAACAAACTGAACTGCATATGGGAATTATATCCACACAATATGTTTGGTGAGAGATTCTGCCTTTGGCTAATGTCTGTGAAAAATCTGTAAAGGTTCATTTTTTAAAATCATTTTCTACATTTTAATTCTTATTTACAAAAAAAAAGGAAATGGGTATAAATAGATATAGGTATTCAAATAACAAAAGCAAGAAATGTAACACAATATCAAATAATATGTATGATGTCAAAAGTCATGGCACTTTAGAACCTTGAGACAAGAGCAAGACTTTTCCCCAGTTTCAAGACAGCAAATCCAGATCCTCCGGGTTGCTAGTGATCCTTTAAGAATTAGATTTTGGGGTAAATAGCTTGCACTCAAATGCCATGTATAGTATGTTAAATACAACATCTTTGCACTGTGACTGAGAGCAGCGCATACAGTGTGATTCAGTGACTGAAATAAGGCCATTCTAATCCGTTACACAGCTCTGTTGGTGCTCTAATGATGCTGCTCTTCCTGTGGGCAGCTTTTTATTGTCACTGCCACTGTGCTAATTCTAATCCCATTTCAAGGTACGAATACACATGGGACAATTCACTCACAGGTTCAAATGCTAAGCCAGAGACATCAAATGTCTTCTTGGTTCAGGCCGGGGAAAAAGGGGCACATTTCTTGTTGTAATTAATGGAAACTGATTCAAATGATAATTTCTTAAAACAGCAGCAAGGACATCTGAGTTGAGTAGAAAAAAGACGTTTTGAGACAGATGCACAATGACTTCACTTCGATACAAATTAAGCAACCTCAGCATGTAATGTGTTCCAGGTCATTAAACACACCTCTGTGGATATTAGCTGCTGGGTGGTGTGTACTGGAACTAAGTCCTGATCCCCCCTTTCATGTTTTGCGTTTTATGGACTTGCAGGTTTCCTGATTAGAGCAGATGGATCACACTGACCTAATCTGCTATTATGCTTTCAAAGAGTACAGTGGAGTAATTTTATCACTTCAGGGAGTGCAGACTGTTAAGATGGACAATATCTCCATGAAAGACTAATCAATCACTTTTAGAGTGCATTACAGTCAGATGGAGCTTAGCCCTGTTGAAGGCTGCCCGATATAAATAGCAGATTGGCTTCCTTCATGGCTGTTTTTCAATTTCCATCAGTATTCGCTGCATGCGTCTCATGCACTCAACCACCTCATGAACACACATCTTCATTCAGGCTCAGATTGATCTCAAAATGAAACTTGCATTTCTGCTGCACAATGGCGCGTCGTTCAAAAGACAAAAAAAACACTTCGAGTGGTGCATTTAGAATTGACATTCGTGTGGTTGGGATCTCTTTACACATAATTATGCTCTGAATGTTTGTTGAGTTACAGTTAAGGAGGTAAAGGCTTTGATCAAAAGTGTTATTTGTGAGTGCACGAGTCGTCTAGGGAATTTGTGTCTGAAAATGAAAGGGGGCTGGCCCAATCATTTTGAAGTGGCCTTTAATTACAGCAGACTGTTCCTCTTGTGCGAATCGCAAAGCATCAGATATTTGTAAATGCAGCATATTGTGGCGAAAAAAAAGGCAGCTTGAAACCTGTAGCTCTTAGAGCCCAAAATAAAATTTCATATTTCAAAACACTAACTAGAATGGAAATCTCCTGTAAAGCTTTGCTGTTCTTAAATGTGTCGCTTTAGGACCATAAAGTGTGCATATGCTATTAAAATTAGCCACTTTATTCATTGCTGCTTAACTTTTAATCATTTTACTATTATTACAGCAGAACATTTGGGAGTGTTTCGGTGTGATAAATTGATTGCAGCTTACATTTTCCTTTTTTTATGTGTAAAACATTTAGATCAAGCATAATTATAGGTGGAAAATCTTATGCTATGATTCCATGTAACTCACATCCTCCATTTTCAAATGAGGTATCTTTAACTGTAACCGTTGCCAATAATCCTGCTGCCAAATCAATCTGTTTTTAGAGGATTTGTCAAGTCCAGCAGAATTCCTTTTTGTAGTCCAATGTTGTGAGGTATCCATGCAAGCAGTGGGGATCAATATTCACAAAGGAGGACACTGAGAGCATGCTGCAGATGTTGGTGTTATGATTACAAACAGGTTATCACTGGCTTTCTTCTGCTTTTCTGAGAGGCTTAACCATTGTGTCCCGTTCCTGCTTTTTTGTTTATGTTTCGCTCACTGTGGAAATATTTGTATTTATTTTTTTCAGTCAGCTTGATGTCTGATATCTGTTGGCAAAGAGATTTTGTACAAAATGACAGCGAAGCAAGCCTTAAACGCGTGGGTGGGGAAGGTGTTTGTGTTTCTCGTTATCTAAACCAGAGTACCTGCACATTTTGTCAAAATGTACTGTCACGTACTGTACTGTCACAAGTGTTAAACTCTCATTCAATTTATAATTAATTCTTGAAGGAATAATTCAAAAGTTAACTATTATAGAAATAAAGTATTACATTGTTAAGATGAGGCTGCTCAGTGGGTAGCTCTGCTGCCTTACAGAAAGAAGGTTCAAGGTTCGATTCCCGGCCCGGGGTCTTTCTGCATGGAGTTTGCATGTTCTCTCTGAGCATGCATGGGTTCTTTCTGGGTACTCTGGCTTCCTCCCACAGTCCAAAAACATGACTGTTAGGTTAAATGGCTTCTCAAAAGTCCCCTTAGGTGTGTGTGAATGGTTGTTTGTCCTGTTTGTCTCTGTGTTGCCCTGCGATGGACTGGCGACCTGTTCAGGACAGGGTGTATCCCGCCTGTAGGCAGCTGGAGATAGGTATCAGCACCCCTTGCGACCCCACTTGGGATAATATGGAAAATGGATGGATGGATTATTAAGATGGATGGATAGAGGGAAGGAAGGAAGGAAGGAAGGAAGGAAGGAAGGAAGGAAGGAAGGAAGGAAGGAAGGAAGGAAGGAAGGAAGGAAGGAAGGAAGGAAGGAAGGAAGGAAGGAAGGAAGGAAGGAAGGAAGGAAGGAAGGAAGGAAAGTGGACAAATAACATAACTTGATTCACTGAGAGATGTGTGAACAAATGCTGTTTGGACCCCACTTTTTACAAAGCAACAGAAAGTACAGTCTCTTAATGTAAATATTTCTCTGTACTTTTTTTTTGTTTGTTTGTTTTCCTTCATACATATCCAGACATGAAAAACCTGCACATGAAATCTACAACTTTTCCATGCTGTGTGGGAATCCCATTCCTTCCAGATGTGTTGCATATCATTAGAACCTGAGCAAGAACCAGTGGACCAGATCGCGCCTGTAGTGGGAATAAATGTTATATTTGAAATGCAGATCCCCTCCCTCCTCCTCCTCCCTTCCTGTGTGTTGTTGCAGTATCATATTGTGTTGGACCATGAGCCACCAGCCCAACCCGGAGTATCACAGACACCCCACAGCATGCCTCTCCTCCTCTCTCTCTTCTTCTAAATTAATAAACCCATTGAAAACTCTCCACAGAACAACAAACCCCCCTCAATGTGTTCGCTTTGAACGGAGCCCTAATGACATCACATTGCTGCAATGCTGCGCTGTCTGTGAGAGCTGTCAGTCGCTTCCTGCGATAACCAAGGAAGCGTCCTCTGGCCGATCCAGACATCATCATGGCGTGACGCGGATGCTCAGTAGAACGGACTCCCTATTTGTGCAGGTGGATGCTTATTTTTGTTTTCCTGGGATACAGAAAATAGTCCTGCCACATTCCCCCCCACCCCCGGAGGAATCGAAGAAGAAGCGGACGGAGCAAGTCGTGTATGAAAACTAATTGCGCGCATGACTGCGCATACTATTGGAGGAGACTGCGTGCGTTTCTGTGTCTTTGCATGGGTGGGATTCCTCCATCGCCTCTGAGACATTGGGAACTTATGGAAAGCAATCGCTCCGGATATGAGCTGAAACAGGAGCGTTGGTTTGCAGGGCTGCGATCAGAAGCAGAACACTATAGTGTTTAAATAGAGTTTTCTTTAAGGCTCCGGTTTGACGCACACGGCTTTCTCTTTTTCAGGATAACTCGCTTCGAAAAGAGCTGCAGTTCTCCATCCGGACACCATCTCCTCTTTCTCTCGCTTTCTATCTTCACTGCAATACATAAGGGGTCTGAGGTTTATAGAGAATGTAACCCGCCTTGCTTTTTTTTTTTTCTGGAATATTTGTATTATAAAACAATCCAGAGAGACTTTGCGCGACCAAGCATCTCCAGCTCTTCAACCTCGGACTATCCCGAGGTTTTTTTTTTTTTCATCTTTGGATTTCGCGGATTTCATCTTTGCATCTTCAGTCTTTAATACTCAATCGGGATCCTACTGGGATTTTAGGCGGGGTTTCTCATCCTAACAGGTAATCAAATACCCTAACTGTTTTATGTCGCTTCACAGCTTGCAGATGTATGTATAAAAAATATATACACATAGAGAGAGATGTATAGGCGCTTCTTTCTTCCCGTTTATTTTGCAGCACAATGCAACTTGATAGGAAGGTGATGTTGTTTATTAAAATGTTTGTAATACAGTCATTTGTAAGATCCAACTGCGAATTGGTGTGAAATTATCAAAGGAGAATGGTGTGTGACCAGTTAAAACATGTTCCCTGGCATCAAACCTTTGGCATCAGAACTATTAGTTCCACTTTTGGCAAGTCCTGGAATGTCAAATGGAGTTTTGCAGCTCTCACAGTTGTGTGGATGAAAGATCTATCTATCTATCTATCTATCTATCTATCTATCTATCTATCTATCTATCTATCTATCTATCTATCTATCTATCTATCTATCTATCTATCTATCTATCTATCTATCTATCTATCTATCTATCTATCTATCTATCTATCTATCTATCTATCTATCTATCTATCTATCTATCTATCTATCCTGATCTAATCTAATCTATGTAATCTATCTATCTATCTATCTATCTATCTATCTATCTATCTATCTATCTATCTATCTATCTATCTATCTATCTATCTATCTATCTATCTATCTATCTATCTATCCTGATCTAATCTAATCTAATCTAATCTATGTAATCTATCTATCTAGAACTGTTTAACTGTCAATGCATGATGGGCCCAATGCAGCCCTATCAGATGGTGAACAGTGACCCATGAGCTACATTTCCAGACAGAGGTGCACATGGATGGTGGAAAATGGCCTGGGTGTGTCTATATCTGCAAGACAGCAAATGCATTACATTTTTTTTAATTAAAGATATACATTAGCAGACACATAAGTAGAAATGTGCTGCACCGGGAGTGATATTATTTTCCTTTTATTGCCCAGAGTGAACGGTCACATCGTAGATCTGCAGAGCCTGGACGATGACGATTAGTAAAACTTGTTAGAGCTAACTGGTGTGTGGCATACAGCCAGATTTGTGTAAAAGGCTCCAGTGTGATGTGTTTGTGCATCCTCAAAGTGAGTGAGAGGCATTTCAGAGTTGAAGATATCTGTCTAGATGACTTGGATGAACGGATACAGCAACAACACATACAACAGTCTGGCATACCATTACGACCACTGACAGGAGAACAGCATAAATATTTTTTATTTCTTGTAGCATATATATAACAATATATGTTGTATTTTGATTGATTGAAATAGAAAATTGCAATATTTATTTAACAGTTTTACAAAGACTAAATTGCCACAGCTACATGTCTCAGTCAGAAACATGTAGATTTTGTGGGGTGTCGTGGTCATAGTGATCAACATCAGCAGTTGAAGGATGTGAGAGTGGACAACCAATAACAGGGTCCTTATTGCAAATGGGGAGCAAATGTCATCCCATGTACTCTGATCCATCTGATGGGCTACTGTCGCTCATGGTGTGCTGAGGACGTTGATGCTGGTTCGGACTGAAAGTGCTTTTGCAGTTATTTGCTTAAGGGGATGATCAGTCAGAGGGACCAGCTGAGCTCTGCTCACTGCAGAAAGCCCAGTTAATAGTCTCATTAGCATCAGACCTTAACTGGAGATCAATTGAATACCTGATTTTACACATAATATTTAGTTTTAATCCAACTGCATGGCTATGATCATTTGTTTTGTTTACCTGGAGATAAAATGTAACCAGGATGCACTGTGGGTTGAGGGCAAGCAGGTAATGTGATGATCTGTGTTACAAAACAAATGTTCATTTTCATGCTTGGACATGATTCACTATTTCTAAGTTATACTTGTTCCTAGTAAATCCCAAACAATTTCAGTTTTGTAATTGTCAAAATGTTCCTGAAAATAATTCCATATATTACTGATTCAGGTGTCTAGGGTAGTCTGCCTTAACAGTGTTAGAGCTACATTGGCATCCAAATGGGTTATCAACACAGTATAAGGCGGTTGGTCATAAAATTAAACATGAATGTTTTATACACCTCATGATAGTCATGTTATCAATGTTGAAAATGATAAGTAGTGTCTGTGAATGCAGCAGGAATTTCTTTATCTTTATTATTTGAGGAAAGCTGGTTGCTGTACAGACCAAGTATCCTATTTTTAGAATGTAATTCCCTCGAAGTATCTCTTTATTCCTCTTGGTTCCCAAACAGAAGCATCAAGAAGAAAAAAAGAATCCCTGAATGGAGGTTTAGAGGTTGTAAATTAAGACTGAGTTGAGGTTAGATGTCAGTATCTTCCTTTGAATTTAAGGGAACTTTAACTTTAGCTCTGCTATATTTGCACAATACCTTCCAAGACCCCATTGGACAGCTTCCTAGGTACCGGGCAGCTGTGTGGTTATATTGTAACAGACAGCAAAAGTTCCTGCAGTTGTAACAGGGCTGTGAAAAAAAATACAAATCAGCTTTATCTACATGCATCGTTTTTACAAGTGATACAAGCCTGGTATACCACTGTTTTACCATACTTTTTATGATGGATACACAGGACATTGCTAAAAATATTTGTGTTGCACTCTATTGTTAAAAAAAAAGTGCTTTTGGTACGAGTTTAATCTAATTACACAGCATCAAAAAGGTTTTGACATAAAACAGAGGTTAATGAGTTTTCCCTCAAAGGAAGGTTGATACCCTTGAGCCTTATTGGATTTGTAATTTGAATTAGCAGTGTGAGCAGTGGGACTCTTATGTATTTATGTGTTTTTTTTCTGGCTCTTTTAACCAGCTGTGTGATGCAGTAAGAGGTGATAATCATGTCTTTGGCTTGTCAGGTTGTTGCAGGATGTTACAGCAGAAGCTCAAAGCACTTGCTGTCATGTGTTTGTCTAATGAAATCAGACAGGATGGTCATTATCATCATCATACTTTATTGCAGACACTTCCATCTTCAGCACTGCTAACCCAGGCAGAAGAAAAAGATCTTACCTAATCAAAATAATTCATAAAAGCACTTACTAAGGCATGCCTGCAAGAGGATGTATATTTGTAGTTTTTTACTTACTTTTTTACTTTCTAAGTTGCTTTATACAAGCTATGAGATGCAATAAATGGGTTCTCAGTGCTTTGTCATTCTGCTGTATTGCGTTACAGCAGCTGCTGTGGTGCTGGTGTCATGTGTTCTCATTATAAAATCGGGACTAGGAGAAGGTTATCAGCCGCAGCAGGAATGAAAGAATAACCGAAACAGAGGCTATTGATCTGTATTCTGCTGCATGAAAGACTTTATAATACAACATATAGAACAGCTTTTGTTGTATGTGCTGTATAAAAATAGCCTGTTGCCGTGAGTCATGTTAAAAGCTTGACATTTACACTGAGAGCATTATTTTCTGTAAAGATGGCTTTTATGATACTTTTGGCATTGGGCCTGTGATGGTAGATATAATTATTTATGTGGCACGTGGCTGTTATTACAGTTAGATATGGCTTTATTATGACAGTAAAAAATAAATACATATTTCACTTAGACACATGTGCAAGGATAGAGAGTCCTAGATCACCCCATAAAAAGTCCTTCTGGGTGGCCTTAATGTAGATCTACTGTTGACTGTAAAATAGATTACAGTATCAACCAGCAGCCACCCCAAGTGAATCAAGACTCATAAATAAAGATAAAAGTTTGAGGTCATCTATCACCATATTCTTAAACCACATCCAGGATCTTGCACTTTTGCAGTAATAAACACCAATGTAAGAGAAGGTATTTCTGCTTTGGCCTGTGGTTACCACTGCATACAGAATAACTTGCCTTACACCCCCTTTTATCAACGTTATCAGTTAACACCATCAAGAAAAAGACTATAGCTAAACAATTAGTCTATTTTTCATTCTGACTGCACTGCAATGACATATGCTCTAACAATCCTGATAAGTTAGCGGCCTGAGAGGACGGCATTCTTGGAACAGAATGTGCATTAAATTACTATGAATTCAAGTGTGATTTGCATATTTCAATCAACCTTTTTTGTTTGTCTCTGAGTTTCTTGCACAGAACAGTCAGTGGCATAAGGAAGAGAAAATTGGAGATGTAACGGTTTGTGATCTGAGTTACGGCTGAAAACAGCCACTCTGTATTGTGTTAAATAAAATGATAAACAGTCACATCAACTCTGCCTGCTTAAGCTGCCCTCTAACCCACATAAAACTCACTGAAAATAGAGGCTTCATGCAGGTGCAATCCCAGAGTTTCCCTGCAGCAGCAGGTTATCACACAAGGAGAAAAATAAACCAGATGCTCTTCCTCACCACTTATTTTGGCGATGAACTTCAGCACCTTTCAGAAAATGTCTCTGACTCATCTAACAAACAGGGGATCTGTTTAGTTAGGAAATTTGAATAAACAGTGAAATGTATTTAATTTTTATTTCAAATCACATTAGGGTGATGGGGTGAACTCTGTGGCAATATTATAGCAGCCCTGTGTCTGCTGACCAGTTGGACCCTGCTGTACAGGTGCATCTCCATCCAATGGAGTCCCCATCTTCTGTAACCACCACTGCAGCATTATGGCAAGAATCATTCAGACACTGATTGGTTGAACGTCTGCCTTAATCTTCAACAAAATGCTGCATTTTTGTATCAGAACACAGATGACTATGTTGGTGTATGAGTATTGATAAGTTCAAGCTTCTCAGGTTTTTCTGTTATTCCCACCTACCAACGAAAATGTTTTTCTGGTTGTTACAATATGGCATTTTTACCTATTATCCTCCCAGTCTAATGTAGTAGCAGAGGGAAAAATCAGTGCCGAAAATTTTATTTTTAACTCACCGGCTAAGTGAACCGGAAGATAAAATATTTTACCACTCAACCATATTTTTACCGGCTAGAAGAAAACACATCAATAATGCCCTCTCATATATTTTTAAGGAACATCTTATTTCACTAAGGCATTATGTTGAATGCAAAATGCAATCAAATATAATGTAAATTTATTAAATATAGCT